CCAGTACAGATTCCAGTCGTTGAAGTGTATGGCCTTGAATTGTCAGGTCAAGTTCTAAATTGTTGCAACCTATGCAGAGCCAGCCACATTTTTCGACATTAAATTGGAGTTGCCAGGTGTCACACCATCTATCCATTTTTTCTAATTCTTGCTGTATGGCGTTTACTGTGATTCCAAGATCTGTGTTCTTGCATTTATACGTCACTTTTAAGTCATCTGCATATAGTATTGGTTTACCTACACTAAAGCATTCACAGATACTGTTTATATATATTATGAATAAGAGTGGGCCTAATACACTTCCCTGGATCACACCACTGCTTACTGGTTTAGGCCTTGAGATTATCGAGCCAACTTTCGTTGTCTGACTTCGGCCACAGAGAAATGATTTTATCCAGCTCAGGAGAGGGTCACATATCCCTAGTGAGCATAACCTGCTGACTAGCAGATTATGGGGAACTCTGTCGAAGGCTTTTGTTATATCGAAATATAGTACAATTACTAGTTCTCTGTTGTCCCTACTTCGTGTAACTTCGTTGAAAAAGTCTATGTGACAGGTCACACATGATCTCTTTTTGAGAAATCCGTGTTGTGATGGATTGATAAGTTCATGTTCTAGTAAGTTGTCTGACACTTGGTCTTTAACCACTTTCTCCATTATTCGGGATATTACCGGTGTTATATTGATAGGTCTATAGTTGCATGCACTGGTTTTGGCCCTGCTTTGTGCTAGGTAATATGTATGTGGTTTTCCACACTTCAGGATAAGTTCCAGTTTCCAACGAGAGAGTAAATATTCTAAGTAACAAGACTACCATTTCCGTGCTACCATTTTTGTACATGACAGATGGTATGTCATCTGTTCCAGTACTACCATTAGACTTCAATGTCTTAATCGCTGAGTCTATATTTTGTATATTAAAGTCTATTTCGCCTAATTTGTGGTTACTTTTGCAGGTCATTTGGAAATTTTGGGTCGGGTGCACTCTGGCGTCATTGCAAAACCACTCACTGAGGAGTTCACTTATAACCTGGGGATCATTGTATATTATACCCTTATGTTCCAAGCTGCTTACAGTATTGTCTTTACTGCTTTTTAGACGTTTCTGCAATATCCTACAAAGTTCCTGAGTTTTGGAGTTACCCACAAGCGCTTTATTTTCTTCAAGTTGTGACATCGTTTTGTGTTTATCTTCAAGCCGTTTAAGAGTTTCATGTATTTGGTTTAACGCATTAAATTCCTTAAATACATGGTATTTCCTTTTCAATTTCTTTAGTTTTAGTCGCGTTTTGCGGTCTATAAATGGAGTTGGTGTCTTTAGAGCAGATTTTAGGAGCGCGATTGTGTCTCTTGCTGAGCCAATTGTTTTGTAGAAAATATCAAGTGATACTTCTGAGTTATTGTTGATGAAGTATTCTTCCCAGTCAGAACTTCTCAGCAGATCTGATAGGAATTCCCAATCAGCATTCTTATAGTCCCTATATTGATAGTGCACCGGGGAATTTTTAGGTGTGTGTTTAGTTGTTAGTCGGAGGGGTAGCGTGCAGTACAATATGTTGTGATCACTGTTATCAAGTTTATTTCCTACCTCTATCGAGATGGGCTCTATTTCATGACAAAGGATTAAGTCAAGAGTGTTTTCATTTCTTGTAGGGAGGCGTACGCACTGCTTCCATCCGCCTACGTCTATAGCTTGTAGCAGCTCGTCATGGATTCTAGGTCCTGTACAGGTATCCCAGTTTACTCCAGGTAAGTTGAAATCGCCACAGACTACTTTGTAGTCAAAGTCCAGCGAAGCTACATGCTCTAGTATTTCTCCAATAATTATATCAGTCATTTCAGAGCTATTAGGGGGTCTGTACATACATCCCACGAGAATTTTATTTTCGTTTGTGTGGATGCTTATCCACTTAGATTCAGGGAGTTTGTCAGTAGTTGGGTTATTAAAAGTATTGGAGTTAGTGGATTTAGAGGCATATATTAAGCAGCCGCCTCCTATTTCGTCAACTCTATCGTTCCTATAGATGTCGTAGTTGTCTATTACTAGCTTTGAGTCAGGTATGTCAGTAGTAAGCCAGGTTTCAGTCACCATTATTAGTGTTGGCCGTTCTATGTATGCCAGGCAGCGAAGCGATGTTATTTTATTAAGGAGAGATCTAGCATTCAGGAGCATAATCGTTAGTAAACCAGAGTTATTGGAGGAGAGGTTAACATGGTTACTTGTTACTATCCCTACGTTATGTTTGGAGGGGCTGTGAGGTGAGACAGAGTCAGTGTGTGTACTATTTCCTGGATGAATTGTGCAGCGAGTGGGGCTATTGTTTGCTGCATCCGAAAATAATCCTGTTGCATTGTTTGACTTTTAGCATCCATGGGTGGGCATCTGCGTTCATTTACTGGTGATATATAGTTTGCTTGACCTAGGTACCCTGTGTTAAGATTACCTTGGTAGTTGTACCTCATGCGTCTTTCATAGTCGTATGCATATTGGCTCACATCACGTGTGTGAGTGAAGTTATTGAGAGGGTCAAGTGTCGATCTATACTCATTATGTTGCTGAGGTTTAACATAGATAGTGTGAGAGTTTGGACGAGAATATTCATTAATATGGTGCCTATATGAGTCCCGTTTAGTGCTCCATATATCCTGATGATCCATTCTACGTTGCATTCCCAAGTTATGTGCGTTGCTAGGCATATTACTCCTAGTTCGGGAAGGGGTGTTCTTACTCACATGATGGATGACGCTTTTGGGAATATGGTTTTTTACCCATGCATTGTCATTTTTTAGACTGACATGTTGCTTATTAGACTTATTGAGAGGGAGGTATGTCGAAGTCTGGAGTGGGACTCTAGGCTTTGTCGTCTTTCTTGCAGTTTCTACTGCGGGACTCTTGGGCTTGCATCCAGATTGAGTGTGGTCTGCCAGTGGTTTCTGGTCAGACATAGTTTGTGAGTCAATATCAACCTCATATATGTCAGCAGGTTTTCCAGATGTGCTCTCATGTACTTTAAGATTGCACCCAGTGACACTGCTCTTACTGAGTTTCGAGTCGCTTTTACTTGCCGATTTTTTCCCAACACTATACAGGCGACTTGCTGTGCTTCAGTGTCCGTCGACGCTTTAGCACTGATACCAGGTGTAGTTCTCGGTGTGGTCAACTTTGTATCGAAGGAGTTCTTGGTTGCTTGCCTTTGGTTAGTTGTTTTATCCGAGACTACTTTAATAGTCTTGAATTTAGTGGCAGTAGCCAGAAGATCTTCGGCCTTCTTAAATCGTTCAGCTATTATGTAGCTGTCGAACCTAAAGAGTATGGGACATGGATGCTTTAGGTCTTTTTTACTTAAGCGAATGCACTGACAAGGTGCACTCAAGAGATTTGCAGCCTTCAGCAATGATTGCTGAACCGACTTAATGGGCTCGCTATCTGGTACATTATACGTTATATAGAATTTTGGCCCATCGTTATTAAAGATCAATCAACAGTTAGGAATAAATGAATATAAGCGAGAACACGTGCAAAATCGTCACCTGGTTCGAACGTACCGGGCACAGTGTGTGTAATGGGGGTTTAGTAACAACATTGTTGCTCGACGTTAGCAATGCCTTCGATAAAGTCGCACATTTCAGACTCCTAGCAATTAGTCAAAATCAACCACCAGCTGTCTTCATCAAAGCCGATAACTAGTGGTGTAATACAGGGTAGCGTTCTTGGCCCTATTCTATTCCTCCTATTTATAAATGACATAGTCTCTGTGATCAAGTATGGCAAGCCATACCTCTTTGCAGATGATCTCAAGATAGTATATGATTATGGGTACGATGATATGAGCGTCGAAAGCAAAATCCAACATGACTTAAACAATTTAGGCGATTGGAGCGAAAAGTGGCAACTGACTTTCAACCCAGACAAGTGCGGTATAGCCCACCTGGGACGCTGGAAACCGAGAATGTGCCTATATATGTACGGTAAGCTCCTCTCGAAACTGAACACTGTCACAGATCTCGGGATAACATACTCAGATCTAACCTTTACCGATCATGCAAATAAGGTTGTATCTGACTGTAAACGACTTACTGGCTTTGTACTGCATAACGTCGACACCAAAGAAGCAAGATTAGCTATGTATAAGAAACACGTTTGCCCCAAACTTGAATATTGTGCTCTCCTGTATAGGTCTGCAGACAGAAAAAAATCGAAAGTTTACAGAGATTCCTCACGAAACGCATAGTAGCGTTTGACCAACTAGTGGAATGTGTTGACAGGTGTGTACGTCTGAAATTAGAACCTCCGTGGTTAAGGAGAATGAAGTGCAACTTATTTCTACTATTCAAAAACATTAGGAAGCACCGTTACATGAACTCATTCATAACGTGGGAAAATATTAAATCATATCAGCTGCGAAACCACGACTACCTTGTCAAAATGGATATTCACAGAAAATCCATTAGGGCCAGCTTTTTCAGCACTAAATATTGTACTCTTTGGAACCAACTACCATCTGAAATTAGACGTTGTGAAAACGGAGCCTAGAAAGGTACATCAACATCTCCGCCCTAGCTCATCTAAAAGATCACAACTGTTGGTAGAACGGAAACTGAAAGCCAGTCCAGTCTTCAGTCACATGCGTATAACTCTGCTCTGCTACATACGCAGTGGGCGTTTAGCCAATTTACTGATTTTCTATTCTCTATAATCTTCACTAAGTTGATATAAGTAACCTTATGTGATTCTGATGGTTCTATGGCTGGTGGTTATTGTATGGACGTTAAGCTTTTCCTGTAGTTTTCGAAAAAAACACTTTATATAGGCTCCGGGTAACTCCTGAATTGGTCAGAATACCGAGGTGTTGGTAAACATTTGCACCTCTATCTTAAAAATCCCTGAAATTGCATCTTTTATAGAATTTTACAAATTCTTTGCTTTAAAATGATCAGAATAGTTCGACGAAAATAAATATTGTCTTCAGTTTTGAAAATACTCTCATACTGTGTTTATATTCACTATAGATAACTGCGTTACAAACTTTCCAAACGAGGGAAAATTATTCTCTAGGTCGGCTTTTAGGTAAGTGTGTCTATTTATTTGTTTCATTTGCGTAAGTGTGCATAATGTTGGACTGTAATGTCGTTAGAGGTGAAATTAATTTACCTTATTTTTGCTGGTAAGGCGAGATTAATGTGGATGTTTAGTAAAAAGTGGTTGCTGTAAACTTTTTCGACGAAACCTTGCTGATATTTTAAGAGTTTTGATAAACTCCTCGGCAGTTCACAGCTCTCTTTCAGAATACTAGTATTTATTTGAGGCTTAAAATTTGAGTGGATTTAACCAGTATTGGGACGACAAATACGGAATAATAGAATATATAAAAAAGATGACATTGTGTAACCTTGCAAAAGGCGGGATCTAGCGACAAAGTCTTTTTATTTTCCTGTTTTTTGTCCATTAGGCTTCCAATATTTGCCACTCTTTTTACGCTCTGTTCCCCTTCTTTTCGTCCGATTGGAGTGTCTCAAGGCCTCCATTCAAATTGTGGTGATTCTAAACTATAGCAGCCCAAAACGAAACTATCTAATGAAGGGATTAGTGACCCACATGAGCCGGTTAGATGATTTTCTGGCATACAGGCGAATTATGGATGCTTTGCACTAATTACACAGCAAGTTTTATCCAAATTTAATACTTGAGTACTACTTAGAAACAGGCTGATTGGAAAGGAGAAAATGTGTAGCCAACTGTCATCCCTGGGATATATTCGCAACCTTGTCAGTCATATGTCTGATCCCATTATTCCCCAAGACGGGACCCGAAAATTCCAATAAAAGTTCCTGAAACACCTATAGAAGAGCATCAGAGCTGTGAATGAGTAAAAAAACTCGATGATTTACCGTTATCTCGGTGAATTTACGTACTGAAATTGGTTTTACCCAATTTAGAGGACTCCTTTAAAGAAGTCGGAAGTTTTCTTGGAACATATACAAGATCGTTATCCTGAGTAACCATCTTTTTAACATTGCATTACTCACGTATAGACGTTTTTTCCAACTGCTCAATTCTACTTTCAATGCATCTGATTGGGGCGAATTTCCACAATACGACTACGTCCTACCAATATATTATCCAGACAGTATTTAAAAACGTGATCTGGGTGGAATTTGCACCTGAGCTCATGAATAGTGTCCATTTTTGCACTAGAATCGTAGATTTCTAGCATGCGTTCAAGGTTATTTCAGCGTTCGCACTCTTGGGACGCTATTGTTGAACTTGACCCTGATTGGTCGACGTAGACTTGTCAGGGTCCTCATTGAGTAGTTTCGTTCTGCGCTACTTTAGCTTAGAGTCACCCATTTTGTAGCAATGTAGCCTTACAACCAAACAAAAATCAAAATTATAATGAGACGTGTATTCATATAACCATAGGGAAAACAGCGTATATAGTAGAATTAGTTGATTGTACGCATTAATGTGTACAAATGTATTTGATCCAACTTATCTATGCCAAGTAAACATAACAAGTCTTATTCAGGTTTTAGCAAGTCTGTTTCGCCTGCTGAAGCTCAAGACCCTTTAGGTAAATTTGTTTGTCAGCTGAGCACACCTATAATTTATTCAGTACCTATCCATTGAATGATGGGTGAGCATTATTTGCTTTATAATTTATACATGTGTTTTAAGTTAGCTTTAAACGAATTAGTTTTCTTCGAAGAAGAGTGTCTGCTTGCAATTTTAATATATTCGTGTCCTGTAGGAAAAAGAAACGTTTTGTGTTGCACCAAAGCTTAGGCTGTTAACCTACTACATTTATTGTTAATCTGTTATTTTTTGACTGCTTAAATTACTAAATTTTTAAAGACCGCACTTTCAACGCCTTCCTCTCCTTTGATACCTTCCACTTACATGGCATATCTTGGTGGATAGCATATTGTACAGAATGTACAGAATGATCTCGGTCTGGTTCAAAGCTACTGTCTTTTCACTAGTTGCAAGTATAGGGACATACATTTTATTTTTGTTGGTCACTGGACTCAAATCGACTTTCGATCACAGTTAAGGTATTTGACGGAGTATTGCAGTTAGCCTGGGCTACACCAGTAAAGTGAAAAAATTTGTGGATATTTAAAAATTATGAGTATAATGAGGATTTTCTGAGTTCACGTCTGTGGTGTTTAGAGAATAAGTGGTGGTGAAGTTATTGAAGAAATAATATATCAGAATTAAAAAGTCAACTGAAAAAATACACGTGTATAGATGATAGCTGACATCTAGTTTCATTGTAGTCTCACAGTAATCAGTTGGTTTACGAAGACAGATACCAGCTGGCTCTAAATACAAAAAGCAAGGCTGCTTCACAATAAACTCCATGTTTTCATAAAATTCCAAGCGGTGATGAGTAACGAAACTGAAAGATTATATATATATATATATTTGTGCTACCATTGGTAAGTGAATTTAATGAAAAAAAGAGTAGAAAAGTGATTTTGTGTTCAAGCAAATAAAATTATTAATTGGTACCACTTGTGATGTATGATTTATATATGTGACAGTCAAATAGCTTTATGGAACGACATTGCTTGAGACACAGTTTAAAATGATACAACTGACTGTTCTCTGTTCATTGCGCATGTGGGAGGTATGACAACTTGGATTGGCGTACGTTTGTGTTAAATTCCCGTTGATTGAATAATTAATTACCATGGAAATGTTGAACCAACTGAAAGGTTGTTTGATGATCATTAAGGTCTCACCATTGATTATAAAGCTGTCTGTTGACTATCACAGTGTTCCGCGAGTTCATAGTGGTTAGGTAGAACTGGCATAGTTACACCTATGGTAGCTTGTGAAATTGTTGACGAGATAGCCTTTATATATAGTATTCAAAACAAAGTTTACTCTTTCAGAGACTGTAAGCTCACATCTAATGGAACTATAATATTGCACACAAATTTTGAGGAAATGTAATTGCAGTTGATCAGTTTATGTATTAACAGTGAATCGATAGTATTCATGAAATTTTGAGACACAACAATTTTGTGGACTGTTATGGGATCCCATAAAATTGACATTAATGTACTTAATTTACTCATAACAATGACTAAATCACTCTAGTTTTGAACAGTCTTCAAAAAAAGTAACCTAACGTTTATGAATAGTCTCCTACTTTATTGGTGACAGGTGATCTAAATTATAACTTCCTTTTTCTTGGGATTCATGGCAATTTCTTGTTTTTACGTGTTGTTCTTAATCCTAACCCTTTTGCCAATTAAGTTATTTCACTAGCATAACTATAGACAAGTAAATTTATCTTGTCATTGATTTTTATTGTGCATAAAATGTTCTGTGTTTATTGCAACTACACTATTAGCATCTTAAAGTTTCCGTGGTTCTCTTCATGTTCCTTCCTGATTGTTTTACTTTTTAAAGTCATCTGTGCTCCTTCTTATGAAGTTTTATGAAGGGATAATATGTGAAAGTTTGTAGTTTCTGGTTTTGTAAATCAAAAAGATTAAATTGTTTGTTTACTAACATCATCATAGGTGTATGTAATCAGCTGTTAATATGAACAAAGAACTCACCTAACGTTCAAAATAAAGGATTGAGAAAAATTTAACGCAAACTGGATTACTACATAATGGTTTGTTGGTGCCGCTTTTATTCTATGGATTGATATAGGATCTTCCTGCTGACCCCCCTAAGTATCAATCCCTTTTCCGTGATGTAAATGATGTAAATCCAAATGCAGACGACACAACTGAGAAACAGGAAGTTTCAAGGAAATCTAGTTTAAATGACAAGGAGATACCTACAGAAGATAAACTAAAGCTTACCTATACAGTCGGTGATGCTGTAGAAGCTTCTGGTTTCGGGTGTTTCCAGATAAAGTTGTTCGTATTGTGTGGTGCTATATCAGTAAGTTTTATGTGTTTTATGCGCTCTGGTCACGTAGTTGATCATTAAAAATGATACTTATTCAATTGGACAACTGCAGTATTTTGATAAATATCAGATGAAACTTTTGTTTTTATCTAAAGCTATTTCGAATATTAGCAGGATATGTGACGGCGAGATTAATGTGCACGCCTAGTTTTATTATTTGCTGTTAGAACTCAGTTACATGGAACATATTTCTAATATACTGGGCTGAGCCACATAGTTTATGCAAAGGCCGATGATACTGCTGGTCTTGGCCTGTCACATTGACTGAAAGCCCAGTGCTTGAGACAGTGAGTCAATTCTCTCCATCCTAGTTTTAGCGTGGTCAAAAACCAGAAGATAATTATTCCTAGTATATCTTTTTTTGTTTCTATAACTTTGTAGAAGTCCCCATTGCCTTCAAGTGTTTGATTTCAATCTATTTAGAATGACGGATAAAGTTTAATGTGTATTAGTTAGTACTAAAAGGATATTAATATCCAAACATTTGTAAAATAGTAGCCAAGTGTTTCAGAATAAGTCACTGTTGAAGTCCATTATTTTCACGGATTATAAATACGTGACATATTTGGGATCAATGGGAACTTCACCACGAACCGTAGAGATGCGCATATGAGACCAGAGTGTGGCTTCTCACATAACTCTACCTAGCCACTTGGATGACTCGTGTGGATCTTCTGGTGTAGAGATAGAATTGAGAGCTAGAGAAGAAACCCCACATCGCGAATGGATTACAATAGACATTCGTATGAATACTGTCTTGCTCAGTGGATTTGTAAGAACAAGCTCTTGATACTCACCGATAGCTCTTCGTAATCTCCACTTACACACTTAATAACTGCTACTCAGACTAGATAGAGGATGATTTTTTATCAAAAGGTGTATTGTTCTCTGCTTAAGGCAAAAGCTCAGATATAATCAAATTAGCGAGCAATTTCAATGCTCAAGTGGTGAAGTTGACTCAGTCCGAAATATTAGTTGACCGTATATACGATGTGCCGCCCCGAAGAACTGATAATGGTGACCAACTGTCCCTGGCCAGCACCAGTTTTAAACATAAATAGATACACTACACCATTTGGCAACCATATATGTCTAGTCAACTATGGACACAAATAGAACACTGAGCTATAAGTTATTGATGGAGGGAATGGATTTCTGCAGCTTCATTTGAACTTATGTATGCAAGAAAGCTGGTAGTGGTTGTCTCTGTACATGATAAAAGCAAAAGAAATAGGAAAAAACATTAGGGCTTTGTAATATATGTCAACTTTTTATGTTCAGTTAGGAATCGAGTGATGATAAATTCTTGAATAGATTAACTCAGTTATTAGCTGGTGTATGGGATTCCAATGTAGTTCCAGCGAACTTATATAGGTTGTAGAGCATTCTAGGAGATAAATCATGCTATGATATGATATGTGCGTCGGTGGCACAGCGGTCAGGACTCTCGCCGACTATGCACATTGTCCGGGGTTCGATCCCCTGCCGACGCACACCTGATATCCATGGTTGGCCTGCAAAATTTGGGCTACTGATATCACATGCTGAAAATTCCATAACTGTACCAAAATTACGGTGTGGAATCAAGCTATAATCAAAAAAATACAGGGATCAACCTAACTAACAGACCATCTATGATCCTAGATTCCAGTCTTACAAAGACTGTGCTTGGTAAAAACAAGGCCGAGAAAACCAGGTGTGCTTTAGGTACGATCGAGGGCAGTTATATCTTCCCGCTTTAACAGGGTTCTGAACGTAGGCATAGGCACCATAAGGCGTCACTTGACTCCGTCGACCGGCAGTTGCTGTAGCAATTTTCGACTGATTGTTAAGAAAGTAAGGAAAAAGTATTTCTTACTAATCAAGGCACTCACTCTACTCGAATTTATGCAGCCCTACAAGAGCTTACGGACAGTTGTCATTTAGAATGAAGACAATGAGTGATATCTATTTTGGATGGCCAATGTCGCCATTTGAATTCAGTCTCACTATAGGTGTACTGTGATAGACGTAACGATGATTAACGTTGGTGTCTCAGGGATCCACTCTTTATGATGGTTGTGTCTCCTTGATCTCAAGTACACAGATGATGTAATGCTTGTAGATGAAGATGCTGGCAATACGGAGTGTCTTCTGAATAGATTGAACAAAAGCATAAGTATGTTTGACATGTGATTCGCCCCTGCCAAATGTAAAACGGCGTTGCAAGACTCGTCTGCACGGAGTCCAATGTTTACGATACGACGTGAAATGGATGATTGTGTTTGCCACTTGACTTATTTGGGAAGTCGTATGAACCTTAACTGGAGAGAGAAGAACTAGAAGTTCAGCAGAGATGTTGATCTTTTCGGTGATTTCATTCTCAAAAGCAGCTGTACAATCGCATTTATATACATAAGTTTATACAGTTCGAGTCTCCACACTCCATGTAGCACACAAAGCAAGAGAAGAAATTCAAAATAGAGACAGTAAACAGGGATATGAGACAAAAGGAATAGTAATATTGAAGAACAATATAGTTCCATTGGGTATTATAAGTCACAAGGAGTAGATGTTCCTAGCCATTGGTTGCATTAATCTGTACAGCTGTTGACTGACGGTTTGAGTTGTGTAGAGAGGTGTCGACTACGTGACTTGAGTCACCGAAATGTTAAGAATCAGTGGATTGAGACTGTTGATGATATGGCCCAAAAATAGCTCAAGATTTTTTAAATATATTAAGTATAAAAGTACTATGTAGTACTACCACATATTGGTCTAAATTTTTTTGTATTTCTTTGCGTTCTCAGAAAAACAATAGGGCTTCAAGCTTGGACTTTGGAGCTGCGGTAGCAGTGGCTTTTTCTTTACGGAATGAGGTTGATAGTCACATGCCCAACCTTCCCCCTTCGCCAGGCTTTTTACCAGTTAAACGAGGTTCGGGAGTGCGTCGGCTAGGGACAGAATCTCGCAACACGTGAGTGGTTGGTGAGCATTCTACCTATGTTCCACCACCGACGCATTGGTCTAAATTACAGTGTCTAATATCTCCAAATTAATCAGGTGAGAGGATGAGAGTGAAAAAAGGAGTATTATAACTAAGTGTCATAGAATGATAACGGAAAAAGGACTACAAAGATAAAGAAATCAGATATTATAAACAAGGGGAAAATCAAAATCAATGCATCTGAGGTGCATGTTGAGACATGTTGGCTAAAGCGCATAACCATGGCTTTAGGTTGTCATGATGACTCAAGTCAGATAATGTACACTCCGCTATACATCTGAAACTAACACTAGTAGACTGGTCACATTTCTATGCCTAACTACTGTTCTCTTTTTCCTTTTTTTGTCGACCTAATTTCAGTTCTGTTAGCATAAGACGATTATGCAGACAGCAGAAACCAGAAGTAAGACTTTCTAATCAGGCCAGGCAACGGTGATTTTCAGTTGCCTTAACTGATCTGTTTACCTAACCTAGAGCCATATGCCTGACGACAACGTCGATCACATATAGTCATTTTAAAACTTCATGGACTTGTGAAAAAAACAAACATTAAAGGAATCAACTTATATTTTTCAAGTTTTTCTCGCCACATATTTACTTTATCTCTTGGCTTAAAACTTCACACTCTGTATTACATTTAGTGTCCAGTTGACTTTTGTATTTTACCAAGCTTTCTTCTGATTTAATTTCTTTCCTTCAGTAATATAAATAGCTTAGAAGATTTGATATACATTTATTCTCCTAGGCTGCGGATGCTATGGAAATGCTGTTACTTTCGGTACTTGGACCAGCGCTAAGATGTTATTGGTTGCTATCATCAGGACAGGTAGCCGCAATAACCACAGTGAGTATACACAATTGTTTTTCCTTTTATATTTTTGCTTTGACAGAATAGAAGCAGAGATTAAAGTGAGAGAAACTATTGTTTTCTCTAAAGTATGTAAGATACATTCTTATCAGTCATCGATACTTCAAAGAGATTTCCCGTTTGTATTTTCATATAACCATTTCTAATCGACTTCTTCCATTGTTTGAATTGATTTTTATGCGTAAACATATTTCAGTCATTTTGAACAATTTCTTTTGCTAGTAGAGTAGATTGGTGCGTCGGTGGCACAGCGGTTAGGACGCTCGCCTACCATGCACATGGTCCGGGGTTCGATACCCGGCCGACGCACTCCTTTACCTCGCTAAGCCAGTAAAAGAACTGGCAAAGAGGGATGGTTGGGCATGAGGCTAGCAACCCCATCCCGTAAAAGTAAACACCACTGCTACAGAACTTCGAGCCTCTAGCTTGAAGCCCTATGTTCCACTGGGAACGTGAAGGAATAAAAAAAGTAGAGTGGATTATTCTCATTTAGACTATACTTTTTTAAAAATGAACTGTTGAAGGTGTCATAGTAGTTTGTTTGTCTTCATCTTTGATTGTGTTAGTAAATCTGCCAGTTCACCAATACAAAAGCGCTTATCAGATGATGGTTGTTAGACTTAGGGTTTTACTTTAATGTGATTCAGTTACATATAAGATTATTGTTCAACATTATAGTAGTATTATGAATCGGCTGTCACCAAAAATCAACTTAGCCTGAGGAATAAGATTCAGATTTTCAACACTAATGTCTTTTCAGTGCTTCTATCTGGTTCAGACACTTGGTGCACGCGTCATGAAACGCTTCTCCGACAGGATGCTGCAGACCTTTATCAACACACCTGTCTTCAGTGCTCACTTAAGGGTTAGATGACCGGCCGGAAAGAATTAGCAACAAAGAAGTGTGGCACCGAAACAACTAAGAAATGGAAATGTGTCGGGAATACGCCGAAAAGGCTGCTGAGTGACATCGTACTCCAAGACCTAGGGTGGAGTCCTAATGGAAATGACGAGCTGGTGGTGGAGATGAAAAGTTATGGCAATCGTGGAGCCGGCTAGGACTGCAGAGGAGAGAGTGTAATTGAGATGTGCTGTTGAATCCCTATGTTCTATTCGGAACCCAGGTGTATGAAGCAGAATTATCACACATCCAAAAAATCACCAATTTTTCTCCAACCACATAGATACAGAAAATATTATCCTCCGTAAAATAAGTTATCGTGATATCCGGCTGTCGACCAAACGGCGGGCATACTGCTCATCAGTCCGCTCCGTCCTCCTTTATAGCTGTGAGTGACACCTGGCCATTGAGAGTCGAAGACATGAAAAGACTAACTGTCTTTGATCATTGGTGCCTGCGTTCTATTTCCCGTGTTAGGTGGTAGGGGTGATAGGGTGAGCAATATTGAGGTTAGGCCTCAGTCGAGCGCTACGTAAGGAGGGGAAATCAATCGATGAGACTGTGAAATTACATCGACTGAGATGGTTAGGACATGTGTTACGTATGCCTAGTCATCGCCTTCCTCGACGGGCAATGTTAGCTGACATAGGGTCAGGCTGGAAAAGAGACTAGCTGCGGTCAAACCAAAACATGGCACCAGTCAATGAAATCCACAACAGTTAATTTAAGCCAGCCACATAGGAAGATGTAGACTTTCTGGTTGGGGTCCTCGGAACAGTAAAAACCAATGGTTGGAAACAATTGGTGATATGGCTCAAAATCGTTCTCAGTGGCGCAGATGCATCCACTCCTTGTGACTTATAATTTACAATGAAACTATATTGTTATTCGATATTACTATTCCTTTTGTCTCACACCTCTGTTTACTGTCTCTATTATTCATTTCTTCTACTTTTTTCTCTTGCTTTGTGTGCTACATGGAGTGTGGCGACTTGAACTGCTACACATCGGTGCAAAGCTCTTTGTTTAAACCAGTCAGTCAGTCAGTCAAGTTATCGTGATTTATATATCTGAACAGCTTATGTAGTAGGAAGTTTTCTGAAACTTGACAGCTGCATCAATGACGCCGTAAATTTTGAGACTATCAATTGTCGGTTGTTTAGCTAGCTAGATCACTACAAAGTGATATCATTATTGAAACTAAGCAGTAGAATTATTTTAGCAGTTGCGTAAAGTTTAAGTTGATCACAGCTGGCCACACGGGTGGCCCGGGTTCGATTCCCGGGCGGTGCACTCCTAAACCTAGCCTGGTTTACTAACCGTTAGTAATTCCCGGGAAGTGGGAAGGTTTTTGATTTGAGGCTAGGAACTTCACCCGATGAAAACAACACCACTGCTACTGCAGCCTCAAAGCCTAAAGTTTGTATCGCTATATTGCACTTAGAACGTTAAGCAATGGAAAAGATCAATACTCATTCTTATTACTTACATGTTAATTTTATTTGGCTTTTGCTTAGTTTCGCTGCGTAACTACTGAGTCGATGACAGAATGTTCTGGTTACTCGTAGTTTATAAGAATAGAACATGTGCACTGTGGTAGAGTATAATTCCATTGTGGGTAAAATTTATTTCGATAAAGACTCTCAGTGGTATGCAGTAATATTCACTGATGACCACATTTCGAGCATAATTCATTACTGCTCATAATCATATCAACGCACTACTCACACAACTTTCTAACTTCCTTTATATAATTCCATCATTCGCCATCGCTTGATTTGATTGGTAGTAGTATTTTCCATATTTCCGGTGTGAATGATCAGTCCTTGCTATTCCACGTGTTTTGTTGGGTGTAGACTCGATGAACCAGAATTGAGTAATCAACCTCTCTTGCTCTCCACCTACCTTGATTACTTTTTAGAATTTTAACCTTCTCCCAGTCTATTGTGTGGTTGTGTGTTAATGCATGCAGTGCGATTTCTGAGTGCCATTTTCTAAATTACTTATCTTCTCCGGGTCATGCATTCTTACCTTAGCTAACTTCTTGTATTCCGACAGTGTGAGTACTCCTGACCTACTAGTTTGACTGACCTATTTTTTTTATTTTTTTGATTTACAGCTTGATTCCACACCGTATTTTCAGTACAAGTATGGAATTTTCAGCATGGATATCGGTTGCCCAAATTCAGGCCGACCATAGATATCGGGTGTGCGCCGGCAGGGGATCGAACCCCGGACCATGTGCATGGTCGGCGAGAGTCCTAACCACTGTGCCACTCACTCACTCACAGTCATTGCAGGGTATTTCGTAAATTATATTATTTTGTCTAATAGGTTCCACCGACAGGGTCCTTTAACCTGCATACATAGCTTGCCCTATCTGAGTGAGTTTGTAGGTTTAAATGCCACTCGAGTTCCTGCTTTATTAAGAATCCTACGTAGGGAGGGTCTCAGATGTCCCCTCCCTCCTTATAAGGTGAAACCACTGTAGATGCCTTATATTCTCTCTTATTTATGTCATCACTACTAGTTTCACAATTATTTTTATTTTGCTTTTGAACTTTTTGCATCTGCTTAATGAATTTCATAGGATAGTTGGTTACTGGATACCAACGCTTCTTCTATCTGTTTCATTTCATCATTTAGGTCTTTTCTTGTACTACTTAATGCTACTGCTTGGTTTGTTAGACACTTAACTACTAAGCCTGCCTTCACAGACAGATAACGGATGAGGTGATGAATTAAAGTCTAAATATCTATTAGAGTGCAGAATCCTTGTTCATCGAGTCTACACCCAACACAACATGTGCAATAGGAATCACTCATCACTCATGCCGGAAATATGGAAAATACTACTACCAATCAAGTCAAGCGATGGCGAATGATGGAATTATATAAACGAAGTTAGAAAGTTGTGTGAGTAGTGCGTTGATATGATTATGAGCAGTAATAAATTGTGCTCGAAACGTGGTCATCAGTAAATATTGCTGTATAACAAACACTGTGAGACTTTATCGAAATAAATTTTACCCCCAATGGAATTATACTCATAGTTTATTTTACTGAATTCTGTCAGTATATGTGCAATTAGTTCTTCGTCATGCAATGCAAGTGTTAGGTAGAATTATGTCCTAGTAGTTACCAGGTTGTTGTTGCTGTTGTTTTCAAACTGCAGTCGAAGTTCATTTTATATTGAATTATCCAACTGTAATCATAACAAGGATGACAGTCACTTATGTCGAATCTGTTGTGTCTGTATCTCAAAGAAACTCCCATCATTACAACACCTGGTCGCTCAAACCGTGGTCATCTAAATTCTGTGGCTCACTGAGTAGTGAAAGCTGAATCTCTATACCAATAATGTTCAGTGAAATTTATGTAGGGTGATGTTGACATTTTTTTAATCTCGTCTTCAAGCTTTACTGAGTTATTCACATATGAAACAGGTGAAGGCGTTGAGCATTGAAAGCCCTATTCGACTTCTTTTTTTTTTTTTATCCTTCACGTTCCCCAGTGGAACATAGGGCTTCAAGCTAGTGGCTTGAAGTTTCCGTAGCAGTGTTTATTTTACAGGATGGGGTTGCTAGCCTCATGCCCAACCTTTCCTCTTCACCAGAGTTATTTCTGGTTTAGCGAGGTAAAGGAGTGCGTCGGCCGGGGATCGAACCCCGGACCATGTGCATGGTCGGCGAGCGTCTTAACCGCTATACCACCGACTTCTAGTCGACCATTTTTATATAATGAATTTCATTGATAACAATGGCGAAAAGAGCAGAAATTGGAAGTTATTGAGATAGCAGCTACACAAAGAAGCATATCCACATTCTGGAATCTCTTTTTCCTGGCCAATCGCATAAAGTAGTTGTAATCTGGTTAGCAAACTATTTAATTATTTCTCATCCTCTTTGTTTATTCAAGTAAGCAGGGACTTAGCGGTTTTTGCATCACATGCTGGCTTATATCCTGTACATTCAATACAAGTTGCATAAATGATAAGTTGATTGGTCGGGTTGATTCTCGCGATTTCGGTTCGCGTTAAAATCAATTATTATTTTATGAGTTTCACTATAATCCCTTTGTTTTTTTCTCTCTCTCTGATTTCTTGTGTTTTAGGTTGTTTTCGCTGGATTTCTGTGTGGAGCTCCTTTATGGGGTTTTATTGCAGATAGATTTGGTCGTTGGCCGGTAAGTGATTGCAATAAAGATTACACTGAGATATTTAAAAAAATGTAGATTTGAAAGCATAAACCTGTTATCAAACTGCATACCAAATGTGTGTCACAGGTTGAAGTGAATCGAGTCGCCAAATAGGTTTTTTTCAATAGTTGGTTTGTAAGGATTAGTTTTGTTTTTACGAGTTGATCACGGATTGATATCAGTTAGAGAACCATTAAAAAACCCACCGATGACATTGGTTGGGGTCGAGCTAAATCACGAATTGGTAGAAATTAGAATTCATGCACTGGCCATTGAATCGGGTCCCAGTGGCTGAATGGTATACGACCTTGCCTTGTAACCGGAAGTTCCTGTGTTCGAACCCCAGCGGGTGCGTACTGCTGATGATTCCCAAAAACTAGGATGAAACAGCTATCCAGTACTCCCTGGTTTTCAATGGTTCTCTAACCGATATCAATCAGTGATCAACTCGTAAAAACAGCTATATGCAAAAGCTTTAGTACTCTTGAGTAGTGTTTGTTGTAGGCTGTCAGAAGTCAGCAGTTTCCATTTTCCTATCCATTTGTTGATTTCTCATAAACCTTAACTAGTATTAAATGACTAGTAGAGATACTGATACCAACATACAGTTTTGTTTTGCTGGATTTATAGTATGCGCACTGTGGTGACATTTATAATCAGTTCAATAATCACGAACAGAAGTTTTAGTTCTCACATGTTGTTTTGAATGATAACTTGTTCCTCTTCGCCAAGATCCCATCTATGTACAACTTCAACCTTTTCGCGTGTAAGGATTTCTGTAATTGTTTCGGAGCTGTTTTTGGGCAGATTTACAAGTCAACAACTAGGAAAGGATAGAACAGAATGTTTTTGCCTATATATAATTTGTATAGAGATGGGATGAATCTATGTTTATCTATCGTAAAAATGATTATGACGATGATAAGTGGTGGCCAGTGTAGTCATGACAAAAAATTTAAGCCGATCGCTTAACAAATATGTAGGCGAAAATTGAGATGCGTCGGGCATTCATTGAGGAGACCGTCACATGACATCGTTCCATCACCAGGCCCTCGAGTGGAATCCAAATGGGAAGCGACGAGTTAGTCGTCCCAAGGTGACATGAAGGAGTTCGTGTGAGTTGGAGGAGGAGATGAGAGATTATGGTCAATCGTGGACCCAGCTGAAGAAGATGGCTGAAAATAGAAGAAAGTGGAGGTGTGTTGTTGAAGCCCTGTGCTCCACTCGGAACCCGAGGGAAAAAAGAACTTTCAATGGTTGGAGCAAACTGAAGGCCTAATTCAGAGCCCGATAACCTGAAGATCATTCGTTGGAGTCTCACTGCGACCCAGTTTTTTTCTATTTCAACGTCTCAGCAGTATGACATTGTAACGCTACCTCGAACATGGAGGGAGACAGAACAAACACTGGCGGAGAACGATATGGATCCACTTTATTATATCGGTTTCCCTTCAGCTGTGTACAACCTATAAAATTTAATTAAAAAACGTCAGAATACAATTTTAACATACATTTAGTTAATCGTCATGAATCAGTCCTCCGGCAAAGATTGTTGTAAGAAAGTCGTAGTGAAACAAAACATAAGGATAATAACGTTATCTTGAATTCAAGTATCGGTTTCTAGGGATTTGATTTGATTAATTGGTTACAGGATTTCATCATGAGCTGACATCGGTTAGAGAACCATTGGAAAACCTGCATGGAGTACTGAACAGCTGTATCCGTTGTCCTAGTTCGGGATGAAGTTTCTCGCATAAGATGGACAATTTTGTTGTTAGGTTGATGAGTCAGGGATAATTGCACAATCAGCGATAACGATAACTAGAACTCAGGATTGGGAAGTCAAAATTTTGGTGAATACGAAGGTGGATGGAAGAGATTTTGGCATAATTCAGTGGATGGAATTCAAGGGATCATATGAAAGTCAAGCGAGAAACGGTGGTGGTGGTGGTGTTGGGATGCGGAAGTGATGAAATCAGAAGTCAAGGAGTTACTAAGGTGAAATTCACCAGGGTAGTCGAATTCCCTCAATGATTAAGTGTTTTATGCATTGAATTTGTATATTCTGTGCTGAACTTTAGCTCCGCCACCAGTATTATAAGTAGTAAGTAGTCACTACACTTTTCTTCTCTCTGAGCGCCAATGGTCTTTTTTATTAAGCTGTAGCTATTGAGAAATGATATTTATCATTGATTTTTTATGCCAGACATGTGACACTACTTTTTTCTCTCACATTTAAGCAAAACACTTATTGAAAACAGATATCACAACACGTGGTCTTGTATTCTGTGTCATAGCAGCAAAATAAATAGAGAAAATTTATTCTCCAATTGAATTAAGCTATGGACGCCTAAGCGATCAGCAATTAATGTGTACTGGCTTGTTGTTTACTATTCCATGACTTCAATGGCTGTGCTAAGCCTTTTTTTATTGATTATTTTCATTGTCTCTCCTCTTTGTTAAATAGACAATGTTGATTGTCTTATCAATGATAAGCTACTTTGGAGTTTTAACAAGTTGTGCACCAAATTATCCATGGGTTATAATCTTACGACTGATCGTTGGGTTCGCTATTGGTGGTGCTAATAGCAGGTGAGTTTATCTGCCCATTATATTACAAGCTAAACATTGACTATTGAGACAATATCTTTATTACATATAAGAAGTATAAAGACAGATACGCTGATTAGACCAAATCTTCATGTTGTAGTGGACTCTGAATGCAGAGTCAAATATTTTGACATGGTTTCACTTTCTGAGCTTCTGTCCTTCTAGGTAACATCTTCGGTACAGGCTTCAATATGAAGGGAAATTACTTGATTTCTTCATTATTATTGTTTCCTTTAATTCCTAGAGGAACATAGGGCTTCAGCCGCACGTCTCCGTTGCGTTCTCTGTTAACGTTTTCATCTGGCTCCACGTCTGCCCACATGCTTTCATCTCCTCTTCACATGACCTTCTCCATGTCACCCTCACACTGACTACCAACTCGACGCTTCCCGTTTGGGTTCCACTCCAGCGATGGCCTGGTGTGTGGTATCACTTGATGGCTTGTTTTCTCAGAGTATGGCCAATCCACCTCCATTTCTTACTGCTTATTTGTTGTACAATTGTTTCCTACTGGGTGGTTCGTTCATTACCAGGGATCCCACCCTGTTGCTGATCTTTTCTGGCCGGCCATCTGATCTTGAGTAGTATTGAGCGAAGACAGCTGTTGATGAAGGTTTGTAGTTTGTTCGAAGTGCCCTTCGTAACATGGCGCCAAGTCTCTGATCCATATAGTAGCACTGAATTCACATTGGAGTTGAAAATCCGGATCTTATTTTTCATGCTGAGTGCTATTCTTCTGCACATAGACTTGAGAGTAATGAAAGCTTGCCTTGCTTTCCGGGTCATGGCTTTGATATCCTCGTCAGTTCCGTCCGCCTGTAGTTGAAACGATGCTTCCAACTTTCAGAAATTAGTCAAACAACTTTATTTTTCTATAGTGAAACGATCAAATAATGTTAAGCAATGATCATTTATTCTACTTGTATACATATATTCTACAGGTCCTCTTGTATGCTTATATTCTACTGTAAAGTCATCAAGTTGCAATCAGTTGAAGTATCAAAGTTAGTTAGAGAGGAATCTCGGCAAATTGCAACCATTGAGTATCATCAGTGTGGTTTCGCCCAGATGAATTATGGTTGTTTCATTTACTAGTCCTGGTGGCTAAGTCTATTGATCGACAATTGCATAACTTTGCGTTTTTAACTCGCACCGCCCAATAAGTGAATCCAAGACAGTTGTTTTCTCTGGAGAAATTAAGTCCACATCTTGGTCTACATAAATTCTCAGCAAAGAAAGTGCTTCATACCACTTAATCAGTATATATGACAAAGAAAATCGCTTTAATTTGATAGAGATGGATGATTTTTTTGATTGGACACTAGTCAGTAACTAGTGTAATATGTCTAGTCCTATCTTTGGTGCAGACTGAATTCTATCAGTCAAGCTTGCAATGTGGCCACCATTCTAGGTGGTTCGCTATCACGGTGCACTGTGAATTGTTGGTATTAGATGGTTGGAGGCAATCGGCAGGAAGCCCAGCCTGACCTAGGTTTCGTGCTAGTTGGCACTCACCAGTCAGCAAGGCGGCGTATCTGCAACCTCGTTGAAGGAACTCATGTGCCTCCTTCTGAGATTCGAACCCGCGTCACACAGTGTTGCAGTCAGAGACGTTACCACTGAGCTACTCGAGCTCGCGATTGACTTCCTGTAGGACTGTATTGGATATTTTTGATTGGACACTAGTCAGTAACTAGTGTAATGTGTCTAGTCCCATCTTTGGTATTATATATATATATATATAATATTTAACTGCTGGTTGTCAGTGTTTCGGTAATGCTTATAATATATATATTTTCAAATTTATCATATTATGCTAATAGCTTAACTGCCTTTAATAATAGAATCATCTTACTATGAACTTGTAATTTCTACCATGGAGTGACAAAATTCTATTCTATCTTATTTTTCCATGTGTGTGTTCGTTGCACTTTGTTTTATAGCTTTACATTATTGTCTGAATTTCTGACTGTTAAACATCGTGCCAAAGTTCTACTGGCTTTTAATGTAAGTCACTTATTCAGAGAACATAACATGCACTTTCTAATAATAATAATAATAGTTTTTTATAAGTTAAATTTTCTATTGTGTGTATTTGTAATTGACTAGTGTTTGTTTTACTATTAGAGCATATTTATTTCCTAGCTATATGATAGTGGCACATGTCAGGTGATCCACAACGAAAATTTCAGCGAGGCGTTCGAAGTGCATACAGGAGTAAGACAAGCTGGCTGCCTATTATCACCAATGATATTCCCAATCTTGTTGGACTGGATTATACGGAAGACAGTGTGTGGGGAGCGAGGAGACAGGAGTACGCTGGACCACCGATGAGAAGATTCTAGAAGATCTGGATTTCGCAGATGATATATGTCTAATGTCACACAAACTCGAAGACTTAAAGGCGAAAATCAACAAACTGGCGGAGGAAGCAGCAGGAAGACAGGACTGCAGGTGAACATGGAGAAGACGGAGGTGATAAAGATAACCAACCACTACCAACAGCAACAACAACCAGCACCAATCACCATCAACGGGAGAGATTTAACAGAGGTTGCCTCCTTCACTTATCCGGCTAGGGAGCATCGTTTCAACTACAGGAATTAGGAACGGATGAAGATGTCAAAGTCAGAATAGGCAGGGCAAGATACGCACGCCTTCATCAATCTGAAACCAGTTTGAAAATCTTCTGCACTCCGCCTCAGCATGAAGAACAAGATTGGGATTTTCAACACCAATGTCAGGTTGGTCCTTCTATATGGGTTACAAACTTGGCATCGATTTCACAAAAAGGATTTCCAACAGGCTGCAGACTTTTATCAACAGCTACCACCTTCTCTGGATCCATACTGAAGATCGAATCACCGGCCGGCCAGAAATAATTAGTAACAGGAAACTCTGGTTGGCTGGGAACAAACCAACCAAGAACCGATTGCTCAACAAATAAGCTCGATAAATAATCTGATGCTCACTAGCGACTGGCCGGGGGTTCGATTCCCGGCCGAGGCACTGTTCACCCCCGTTTACCCAGTGATAAACCCGATTAAGAGGAGGGAAGGATGGGTGTGAGACTAGCAACCTCAACCCGTAAAAGAAAAACACCACTGCTACTGAAACTTAAATGCTCATGCTGAGTTCAGCACATTTCCACAGCGAGTGATTTTAGAATAATGAAGAACTGTCATGCTTTTTCTATCATGCTTTTGACATTCGTTTTTCCACCGACCAATAAATTTCCCATACACACACACACTGTACACAATTTTCGTTCCGCTTATTTGTTGTAAAACCCGTTTCATGATAATATCGTGATATAAATAACGGACTTATCTAGAAAAACAGCTGCGTCTACTTATTACCCTTTTGAAAACAACTAGATATGCCAGAAACCATTTAGAACAAAAGCTGAAGTTAGACATTGAAGCATAAATTGGACTGTTTCGTGGTTGTCAACTCATTTCGTTTTACTTTTTAGATCTGTTTATTAAATTTTGTTTGAATGCGCTAAAATACACTTTGGGTATATCTTAAAGTGGTTAGTCCAGAAAATTTTAAGGTGCTCTTAATGTTTCGAGAGCATTTTTAGAGCTACATTCTTTAATCTCGATTGTCACTATTAAAGATACTCAACAATGCCTATTATTAAAAGGGTTAGTATTACAGGGATTCAGTAATATGCTCAGCACCGAGACCACTTTGTATATTGATCAATCATACACCAAAGGTACGTTGCGTAGATGTCCTTTATTCGCTAGTATAGCCAACTGTCACTGTCGATGTTGCTGAATTCTGTAAACACTTGTCTGCTAACACAATATGCGTATATTTTGTTTAATCTCCGAATTCCATTGATAGTTGATATAAATACCAAAAACCTTGTTTAATAGAGGTTTTCATTTGCAGTTACTAGCATACATGCACACATACACCTTTAAATTTGGCATTGCTTCTTGCACCTAAGCTTATTCTTTTTCTGTTGCCATGGCAATTTACTACTGACTTGTGACTGTTGTGATAACACTACTCACTACCATACTTAGTTTGTAATGATATCATATATTAATGTTGGTGATAATACATTATCAGTTTTAACTGTTTATTCTCCTTCTATAAATAGATTCTGCAGACATTGAACATTTCGTATGTGTGTGCATAGGTAATGAAAACTGTGCATTGATGACGCTTAACTATTCGATATGTTTCGCCGTTTCACTCAGTTGATTGTTTATTGTTATTTTTGCCGCTACACATTATAATCAGACCTCGTATTCTGTTGCTTTTTTTCTTTCTTTTTCTTTTTACTGGCTACGCGTTAGCAATGTCAGCACAAATAATTCCGATCATTTAACTCTCATTGATTTATTGTGTTTCCTATTTTGGTGTTTTTACGCGACAATTAATTGCCTTAATTCAATCGTATCACTACAAGCGAAATCTGTTCTCTTTCATTCCTAATATTGTTTTCGTCAGTTTTTAGATTCCTCCGCCCCCCCCCCTCGAAGTCCCCCTCTTTTTTGAATCATTTGTTTTAACGTGTTGTGCATTAGTGGTGATTAAATTTGATTGCTAATCAATTATTATTAGGTGTTCTGGGCGTTTGGAAGTACATTCGAAGTTGGTTTGGCCTACCTGATTCTGCCAAGATTCGGTTGGAGATGGCTAGTATTCGCTTCAGCACTACCATTAATGATTTTCTTAATTTTAATGAAAGTAGGTCATCGTTTCATTTATTTTACTTTTTCTTTCAAGTATATTTTGATGTATAATAGAAGGTTGGTCAATTGCCACTGATTTCTTAAGACACTGTAAACAGTGTTTATGTGTGAATTGATGCTTAGGTGGTTGAAGGCAATCTACAAGGCGCCTTAGACACCTCTAGGTTTTGTGCTTGCCGTGGTGGCAGTCATCAGCGAAGCGTATCTGCATTGTTGAAAAAAGAATTATATCCTTTGTGAGATTCGATCCTACGTCATCCATTGCTGTATAGCAGTCAGAGCCGTTACCACTAAGCTATTCGAGATCTATCTGTCTGTCTGTTTTCGACATAGAATTTTGCACCGATTTGTGGCAGTTCAAGTCGCCACACTCCATATAGCACACAAAGCAAGAGAAGAAAGTAGAAGAAATGAATAATAAAGACAGAGATATGAGACAAAAGGAATAGTAATATCGAAGAACAATATAGTTTCATTGGAAATCATAAGTCACAAGGAGTAGATGCATCTGTGCCACTGCGAACGATTTTGAGCTATATCAGCGTTTGTCTGCAGCCAACCAGAAAGTCTACATCTTCCTATGTGGCTGACTGGCTTAAACTAACTGTTTTAGATTTCATTGACTGGTGCCATGTTTTCGTTTGACCGCCGCTAGCTCTTTTCCAGCCTGACCCTATGTCAGCTAACATTGCCCATTGTCGAGGAAGGCGATGACTAGGCATACGTAATACATGTCCTAACCATCTCAGCCGATGTAGCTTCACAGTATTATCGATTGATTTCCCCTCCCTACCTAGAACTCAACTGAGGCCTAACTTAATATTGCTCACCATATCACCCCTACCACCTAGCACGGTAGATGAAACGCAGGCACCAATGATCAAAGACAGTTAGTCTTTTCATATCTTCGACTCTGAATGGCCAGATCTCACTCACAGCCATAAAGGAGGACGGAGCGGACTGATGAGCAGTACACCCACCCTTTGGTCGATAGCCAGCCGGATATCACGTTCACGCCAGACGGTGGCGTAAACTGGCATATGCAAAACTAGCCCTCTGTATCCGTACTGAGACTTCGTCAGAGATCAACCCTTTGGCGCTGGCTGATGCAACTCCCCAAATAAGTGACGTGGTCAACGTGCTCTACCACTTCACTCCATATTTCTAAACTAGGATTCAGTGTAGTCCAGTCCTGTAACATCATGCCATTCGTAGATTGCAGCTCAAGGTGTTCAGAAGACTCTGCATTTTGTCAGCGTCCTCACCTAGAAGGACTATATCGTCTGCATATTCTAAGTCAACGAGATTATTCCCTGGTAGCAAGTCAATCCTTGAGTCTCTAAAGTGAGTTAGAGTTAAGTCCATTAGTACATTTATGATGAAATTGAATAGAAATTGGGATAATGGGCATCCTTGACGGACGCCACTAGTCGTCACCACTTCAGATGACAACTCGCCGTAAGCCCTCACTTGGCTGCATGAATTCGAGTAGAGTGCCTTAATCAGTGCAATGTATTTTCTTGGCATTCCCTTCACAGCCAAGCATCACCAGAGTACCTCTCGCTCTACAGAATCGAATGCCGCCTTTAGGTCAGGAAATATAATGATTGTTGGAAGCCGGTAGGAATGCCTATGTTCTAGAATCTGTCGGAGGGTGAAGATATGATCAATACACCCTCTTCCTGGTCTAAAGCCTGCCTGGTTTTCTCGTGTTTGTGCCTCCCGAGCACCACTTAGTCTACGCAATATTATTGAGCCTAGGACTTTAGATACTATATTAGTCAAGGTAATCCCTCTGTGATTATCACAAGAAGACTTGTCTCCGTTCTTGTATATCGGGATGATCAGTGACTTACACCAACCCGACGGGACTTCTTCTGATTCCCAGATGCTGCCTAGAACCTCAGTTAATGCACAGAGTGAACTGTCTCCACCGTACTTAAATACTTCTGGAGTCATTCCATCAGGTTACTAGTGACCAATCAAAACGTCCATAATTTCATGATTTCTCAGGGAAAATCGAGTAAAATATTAGTAGTGTTTGACATTGAGGTATATAGTAAAAACAGTTAGTGTACATTACATTCGTACATCAAAACAGCAAGTATGTAGAAAGGGGAAAAGAGAATAAAAGTACTTGATTCTACTGTCTAGTCTGAATAAATCGCAAATTCACTCGCGTCAGTGAGATTTGCATCACTTTATTTTACTATAGAAGCAGGTAGGCAGGCAGGCTGGCTGGCTGGGCTGACTGATTGAATTTCAGCATAGAAATTTGCATAGAAGAGCAACCTATATCACCCCTGCCACACTCCATATAACACGTGAATATAGAGAAAAGCAAGGAAAAAGAAATTCAAACGAACCATAATAAGCAGAAATGTATAGGGCAAAAGAATAGTAACATGGGAATACAATAGGGACATTACGATGAGTGAATGCCTCTGTGCTACTGAGAACGGCTTTGAACCGTGTCACCAATAATTTCCAATCATTGGTTCTTAGCATCCGGAGAATCCTAACCAAGCAGTCTATACCTTCCTATATAGTTGGCTGGAAGCAAGAACCAGAGGCTCCACGGATCGATGCCAGGTTTTGATTTGACCAACTTTTTTCCAACTTAACCGTATGTCACTTATCACTGCTGGTCGAGGAGGATGGTTCGTCACCATAATTGAAGAGTCCCAAACTAGGACGAAACAGGCTTTCCAATGGTTCTCCAACCAATGTCAGCTCATGATGAAACCCCGTAACTAAATAACTGGTATCGACACTCAAAGTATTCATGATTTCATTACCATCAATTGATGTGAACATATATTGCTTGCAATATTCCGGTAGGGATTCGACATGATGGTTCCGGCATCACTTTTGTCTCAGTTGAGATGATATCCAATTGTGTATATAAGGTTGAATGTGCTGTCCACAACCACGCCTTATCTTGCATTATTTATGTTAACGTTCTAAGTATTTGATGGCTGTCGGCTTCGTAGCATCAGTTGGATTTTTTGTGGAGCTATCAGGGGGCTGTGTAACGGTTAGACTAAGATTCCTAGTTAAATAAGTAAGTCACTCGAAGTAGTTAGTTGTAAAACTCCGTTGACTGAAGTCAACATGACGTGCTTCGTATGTCTACTCAATTTCTACTGGGATGTGATATAATATTAACTACCCAAAGAATCCCGGTAAAAGTGAAAGGTATACGCATAAAGGGTAGATTTCGTATCGACCCATGAAGTCAGTGACTATTGTGCTGGGCTATTGTAAGACTCTAGACCAATTGCGCTGACTTACCTTTCTAATGTTTGCAGGTGTTCAATGTGATAATTTGTACCATTATACATTAATTGTAGTTGCTATGTTGACAGTATCTTTCTGTTATTGATCTTATTGTTGCCATCACACTTGACACCTATATCATTGATGTCACACTTTCTTAGTCTACAACCGTATCAACTTACCTGTTTCATTTGAAACCTGACTGAGAACTGCAGACCTGCTCTCACGCGTTTTCAGTACCTGCCAACAGTGATGGCAGGAGGTATTGATAGAACACCCGAAGATATCTCAAATGCCTTATTAGCTGTTTATGGGCATTCAGATGTCCCATCCGTGTCTTAAGTAGTGGTGCTATTGAACCATAGCCTGTTAAGAGGCTTATACCTCTGCTGAGATTCTTAAATCTCCTGAGTGATTAAAAATGATGTAGTCTCTTAGGTGAGAGTGAAGTGCTTTGCTACTTCTACACCAATCTATGTGTTTTAACTCAGTTGGTAGACTGTTATGCTATTTATGCGAATTATTCTGTTTTGTATCCTGCTGTAACCAACTTGAGTTTGACCGTCAATCATCACATTAAAATTAACCTGCTTGATGAATTAATTTATTGTGAAAGTTTTTTTTCCAGGAGAGGAAGTAATCAGATCATTGTTTGAAACTTAGTAGCTCGATTATAAAAATAAAATTTTTAATGTACTCGTTGATTTTAAATCAGAGAGAATTACAACTTCTTCCAGTCATCATTGTGTAATAGTTTATCCATTTCATTGACTATAATGTACCTTTAAAAACTTTTTTTTCGTCTTCTTTTCTCACACTACTTAAAACTTAGTTTCTGCCTGAGTCTCCAAGATTTCTTGTTAGCGCTGGAAAAATTGAAGAAGCTGAACGTATAATTGCAGATTTATTTCGAGCTAATCGAGTTGCGCCATTACAAGGCACTCTAGTATCAACTGCTGTACCTGTAAGTTGCATTTAATGTATATTTTGCAAAAAAATGGTAATTATTTTCGCTTATATTTCTCACAGCTTTACTGGTGTACCACATTGTTATTATTTCTGTATATTTATTGTTTTGTTCCTATCTTCCCCTTCCTTTTTAATTCCTTTAGGTTCCCAGTGGAACATAGGGCACTTCAAGCTAGAGAGCTTTGAAGTTTCGGTAGCAGTGTTTACTTTTACGGAATGTGGTTGCTAGCCTCATGCCCAAATTTCCCTCTTTTCCGGTCTTATTACCGGTGCAACGAGGTAAAGCAGTGCGTCAGTGGCCGGGGATCGAACCGCAAACCACGTGAGGCGTGGTTGGCGAGCATTCTACCGCTGTGTCACCGACGCACATCTTTCCCCAGATACAGTGATTTCTCACTCAATGAATTTACATTCACGAAATATAGTATGTATTAATGTTTTCAACAGTTGCATGTCGTAATTCGAGGCATATCTTCTGTCTCTTTCTATCGTTGCCTTCCTAAGAAGTAACACAGAAGTAGATGAGAGTTAGTTTTCAATGAATAAACTTTTCACTTGGTGAGTTTGCCTCTCTACGTCTTATATCTCATCATATAAACAAGTAAGAGTTGTATATTTTTGGTTCAGAAATCGCATTAATGTGTCCTCTACGTTGAACAGTTTTAAGAACACAAATAGCACGAAACCTAGGTCCAAGGCTTCCTACCGATTGCCCCCAACTATCTAACACAAAATTCTACAAACATTTTAATAACCATAGTGATAATTTGAAAGATAAATTCCATGAATTTCTGATGCATGATAACTGATTCACGCGACTTGAGAACTACTCTCTCTCTCTCTCTCTCTATATATATATATATATATATATATATATATCATTGGTTCTATTGATATTCCATGTTTACGAACTGATTACCAGTAGTATGAGTGTTAATGAGATGAGTAACCTGCACTGTGATGTATTCCGGTATTTTTCTTTTTTCGTAATTCTGTCAGTATAAAAGTCATGCAGTGTATCGTTGGGGTTTAAATTGGTTCTTTTTCATGCTTTGCAATTTGTATTCAATGTGAACAAGTAACGGTTACAAAATGTCACACTTCTATTCTCATCCTATGCACTGAAATTAAAACGCTTCACTTTATGAATATGTAGTAGTGATAACATAAATAAGAGGGAATATAAGGCATCTACAGTGGTTTCATCTTATAAGGAAGGACGGGACATCTGAGACCTTCCCTACGTAGGATTCTTAATAAAGTAGGAACTCGAGTGGTATTTAAAACTACAAACTCACTCAGATAGGGCAAGCTATGTATGCAGGTTAAAGGACTCTGTCGGTGGACCCAATTAGACAAAATAATATAATTTACAAAATACCCTGCAATGACTGTGAGTGAGGTCAACTACATAGGTCAGTCAAACTAGTAGGTCGGGAGTAGTCAGATTGTCGGAATATAAGAAGTTAGCTAAGGTAAGAATGCTTGACTCTGAGAAGATAAGTAATTTAGAAAATGGCGCTGAGCAATTGCACTGCATGCATTAACAACATACAACCATGCAATAGGCTGGTAGAGGGTTAAAATTCTAAAAGGTAATCAAGGTAGGTGGAGAGCGAGAGAGGTTGATTACTCAATCCTACCTGGTTCATCGAGTCTACACCCAACACAACACGTGCAATAGGAATCACTCATACCTGAAATATGGAAGATACTACTACCAATCAAATCAAGTGATGGAAAATGATGGAACTATATAAACGAATTTAGAAAGTTGTGTGAGTTTTTCCTTGATATGATTATGAGCGGTAATAAATTGTGCTCGAAATGTGGTCATCAGTAAATATTACTGCAAAGCACTGTGAAACTTTATTGAAATAAATTTTAGCCACTTTATAATCCTTGTCCTCATAGGTTGTTATGTTATTTTAACTGCTACTAATTTTGAGAAACTTTAGTCTTACTCCGATCCAATTTGTCTGACGCCTTATGTAACTTGCCTAAATCTTTTTCATCTGATTAAATTCACCTCTTGTGTCATAAAGTTGCATATTTTCATGTATGTGCTTATATCGTTTTCGCTTTCATTGGCTGGGTAAAAGTCAACTCAACCTTTATATGTCGTATATCTTGGTGAATGACTGTGACACCATCATATGGCTACATTTTGTTTGCTTTTTTCACGTGATTATCACTTTAGGTCGTTTGTCATCAGCAAAATAGTTGCCTTTTTTGGTTTACACTCTTCATTTTTTCATCGAAAATATCACCTCAAGGCTTGATAGTATGAACACTGTGATCGGACCACTCCTAATTTCTTAAAACTTATGTGAACATAATTGTAAAATTGTGTTGGAGGTTCAGGAGTAGAAGAATTCTCGCCGGCCGCACACCAAGGTTGGGGTTTGATTCCAGGTTGTCACACTCTTGAAATCTCACCTGTGAAAAAAACACATGAGTTAGTAAAACTTCAAAGCCCCAACTTTCAGTCGTACGTTCCTTTTAGAACTCAAAGGGGTGAAAAAAAACGCAACAAATATTGCACAGTGTTATTGATTTTTGACTTTATTTTTGACCAATTTAATCTTTTTTTTTCTAGTAATTGTCCTACTAAATTCCCATACTTCCAAATGGCCACGTGTTTCTGTTGCTTATCGCGGATGTATTGTTCATCGCTATAAAAAAGGCGAAACGGTTATATAATAATACATTATATCCTGGTATAAAGGAGAAATGATTAATTGATTGAATTACCTTCGATTTGTCCCCAATTCTTTGGCTGAGATCATTTTAAATTGACCTCAGTTATTGTAAGAGTTTTGTTGTTTTACTTTGTTTTCACAAAAGAAAATAAAAATAAAAGTTCCCCTTCGTGCGTTTCCATGGTATGAAGGTCTCATTTAACTTTATTTGTTTATCTAACTAAATAGTTTAATAAGCATTAGTTGCTACGCCCTTATATGGGGTATGTGCTGCATCATTGGTATTTTTAATTTGCCCATTGTCTATTCAAATCTAGCAGAACAGAAGAAGACTGACTTCAGTGATGAGGCGACGGTATCATCATGTGTGTCTAGTTTTTTTTAAGTGTATGTATTGCGCTACTCGTCTCTTCGCTTCATAATATTCAGAAATGGAACTAGTTGTAGGAATGTTGTTTATGCAAAAAGGAGCATAGATGCTTCTTGATTCTTTTTAACATGTGAACGATGCATTCGTCAACAAGGTTGACTGCCTCTGTCTCCATGTGCATACGAAAACAAACACTGGTGTGTATTTATGCATGATGCCTTGTGTAATATTTACTTTCCCTTTGATTATTGTGTAAACTGATTTAATTAATTGGTGCGCATAGTTTCTGGTGTTATTGTTGTTGCTACTGTTGTTTATCGGATAATGAATGTGATAACCCAACCAAGCTTAAATTGTTATTGTTTACCCAATAAAAAATTTCTTTATTGACTTTAGTTGGGCGATTTTCATTGCAATACTTATTGAATGCCATTCAAATTTATTGTTTAACGTACTGGACTTTACAATGTTCAGTTAGAAGGAATTGAATTGTATTTCAGTGTAGATTCCGTCATAATCCAACACCGATTGGAGATCATTGAAAACTAGGGCAACCTGGACAACTGTCTCTTCGTAGTGTAGAAAGAAGTCCTAGTCAGTGCCCACCTACGGCCGCATCAGGGATCGAACCCGGATGTCGACTCGTGATGGAGCGTACTTTGAAATTAATCCGAATCCCCAGAAAAACCTATAAACTAAATATCAATCTCTGTCTGCACTTCGGATTTTGAGGGCGATTGTTACTTCCCGGCTGCCCATACCGTGGAAGTTGGTTGCGTGACCGCAGAGCCCAGGGGACAACTGCTTGAGGCCAGTCACACACGGCCTGTTTTTGTTTGTTCTTTTTCATTTGGTGTGTTTCAGTAGCATATTTATCACTTCTGCCCTGTGACACGGCAGCAGGAAGCGCGGTCGTTGTTAATCATCGGGCCCCGACCGATCCGGTATGATATTTTGTGATTTACTTTGAGTCATAGGATTGGATTGGGTAACTGCTTTTAGTCTAACCGCTATCCAAACAACCTTTCTGGCATGGTAGAACCTGCAGGAACATAAGTTCCAGCCAGTATAGCTTGTTGGGTCATTGCGGTGTTCAAGCCCGACCACAACGTCAAGGTAGCAGATTTCGGTCGGGGTCAATCTCTAGTCCACTGATGGCTACTGGATTGATATCCTGAAGTTGTACTGAGAAGTCAAGTGGCGTTGAGGTCAACCATATCAACGTGAAGTGGGTGTTTATCGAAGGTATATCGGTTGAGAGCAGCGCCATACCACAAACTCGCAGAGGTTAGAATTCATAGGTCATTGAATTTCAGTCATTATCTTGGTAAACTGCTCAAATAAGTCAGAGACGGCACTGTCTTGTTTATTTGTTCCTTTCATTTGAATGAGTTGGTGTATAAGTTTACGCGTCATAAATGTACTTCCGATGATCACGATAAGGCTTAACTGGAAATAAAAACAGTGGATGATTGAAAAAGTGGTCGTGCGTTCATACCATCTACCAAGTAAGTCCTATTCACTGCCTTCATGTGGCGCTGAGGTGTTCTTCACTAAAGTAAATTGGCCAAATACGAACGTCTGATGTTTAACACCTGACTAGTAGACGTGCTCGTCTGCCTAGGGAAGATGGCAAGCCCTGGGTACAAACCTATGGTGTACATGGGCTCCAGAATAGAAACGGATGCAATGGCGTATAAACCTGTTTTATTCACCGCGACCCATAAGAATTCAGCTCCATGCTCTACTCCACTGCCTAGTAGTAGGTCAGAGTTCAAGTGACAAGCTCAAGCGGGAGAGTAGCTCCTTAAGACAACCATCTGCCTCGGCCTAAGTGTACTAGAAGTATCCCAGTCCTCACACAAAACTATAAAGTTTTGTCTGGTGCATATCTCGGTGTCCATAATGTACTCCTCTGGGTTT